GGCTGTCCCATGATCGGACCGCCCATCGGCCAAGTGATGTGGCCCGTGTCCCTCTGCCCGAGACTGGAGACGGATCCAGCTCGGGCTCTGACTAATCTCGTTTAGTTTTTGGGCCCTCCCCCCCCGCCGCCGCCGCCGCCGCCATCGCTGCACATCGTCTACTTTTTCAACACGACTGTGCTCTGCGAGGCGGGCGCGCGCGCCGCCGCGAGGGTAGGGTGGGACCTCTCTTGGACATCGGACCCCCTGCTCGGCACTCGTGCCTTGCAGGGGGCACAGCGGTCTGCGCCCCTCCTCCTCCTCCTCCTCCTCCTCCTCCTCCTCCTCCTCCTCCTCCTCCTCCTCCTCCTCCCCCTCCCCCTCCTCCTCCTCTCCCTCCTCTTCCTCCTCCTCCTCCTCCTCCTCCTCCTCGTCGTCCTCCCCCTCCTTCTCTTCGTCCTCCTCCCCCTTCGCCCCCTCAGTCTGCCCGCTTCCCCCTCCCCCTGGTCGAGATGCAGTCGGCCACCACCGCCGCCCAACTCCGAGCGGCGCGGCAGGGTGACCACCGCCGGAGCGTCGGAGGTAATTATCGACCCCCCTCGTCCTCGATGGTTGATGCTGCGGGTCAGGCTGGCAACCACCTGGGACACTCGGTGCCCCTACAGTCGGGGCCCTGGAGAAGGAACCCTTTTCGTTGGGGAGGGGCTCCGCGTGCCTTAACTGTTTCGCAGCTTGCCCTGGATTCTCCTTCTGTTTTCGATCGGAAATCGAAGTTCACCTTAGGGAAGAAAGGGGCCTCGTTCCTTACTTAGGGTTCCTTAGGCCAACGGCCCGACGGTATCTCTGGCCAGCGCCAGGGGAGGGGGAGGAATCTGCAGTCCCAGGGGCAGCGCTAGGGGGGGGGGGGGGGGGGACAGGCACATGGAGGGGACGCATCGACCCCCCAATCGCACATTGATCGCCGACAGTGGCCTGAAGGGGAGGAGGAGGAGGAGAGGAGGAGGAGGAGGAGGAGGAGGAGGAGGAGGAACAGGAGGGAGGAGGAACAGGAGGAGGAACAGGAGGGAGGAGGAACAGGAGGAGGAACAGGAGGAGGAGGAGGAGGAGGAGGAGGAGGAGGAGGAGGAGGAGGAGGAGGAGGAGGAGGAGGTCGCCGACAGTGGCCTGACAGCTCATCCCGCCCAGGTACGTGCATGTTTGGTTGTCAGGGGCCTGTCGCCGATCTATCGGCGGCGGTAGATCGCCGATTCGATGCCGATGCTTCCTCCCGTAAGCCAGTCCCCCCCCCCCCCCCGCCCCCCCAACGCTGCCCCATCATAGTCACGACGCTGGGGCAAGGACCACTCTGGGCTCAGGAGGGGCTCGGGTCTTCCAGCTGACCCCAGGATCTGGGTCGGGGAGCCTCTTAGTGGCCGACCTCGCCGCGGCCAGGGAACACACACGTCCCTTCAGTGTGTCTGCCAGCGGTCCTCAATGACAGCACGGCGACTGCAGTTCTGAGGTGAAGAGGCAACGACACGGCGTACACGGTCTCCTCCATTGCCTTCTCATGCTCCTCCGCCACGGCAGTCCCCACGGTCAGGAGCCCACGACTTTCCATTCTGTTATCCTGCCCAATTCGCCCTCATCCTCCCCTTCTACGAAGCAGCCCTCACAGTAGCATGACACAGCGGTCGATGGTAGACTATCTGCGCAAACCTGCGCAAAACATGTGCTGCCAGCCCCGCCGCCGAGCTGATGCAGCTGCCTCAGCTTTGCGTAGAAGCCTGCGTTGGACAACTTTCACAGTGCGACTATCAACCAAATCGTTCAGCAGGTGGTGGAAGGCTTTAATCACGCTGAAAAAAAAACGCCTCAACACTTCAGCGTGGCCTGGTTCGACGGGGTCAAACAGTGTTTTGCCGTGAAACTGGCGAGTCGCATTGACACCGACAAACTCCAGGTCCCTGGAGGCTGGCCGGAGCAGGGTAGACAGGGCAGGAGGAGCCATGCCAGATGCGATTTTACATAAGGGGCCTAAAACCGCAGTGTCACGAAGCATGCTTACAGGAGTTCAGATGTGCACACACAGCGCAGCCTCCTCAGAAACCCATGTTATTGAAGAACTCATTGTGCAAGCTGCCCAACTGTTGCAGAATGCCCCGCCTGGCGTGGTGGATCGCCGGCGTTTCCCCTCGATGTATGAGAGAATGTGGCATTTGTACAGCTTGACAAGCTCGCAGTCGCGGTAACACCGTCTTGTCTGGACAAGGGCGCGCAGGCGCCACCTTCTTCCCTCTGTAGCGATATGATGCACGACCAGATGCATATTGAAACGGGTCGCCGTGGCAATTAGACCTGTCGAGGAAATGAGTCTCGTTGGCCGGTTCAGAACGCACGTCGCCCCAAGCGTGAAGTGCCGCTTGACACTCGGACCCCCGGGGGATCCAGACCGGGAGAGGGGGGTCCGGACCTGCGAGCTGTGCCAGGGAAGGCGCTCAAGCAGTCCAGAGCATCCGTGAAGACGGCATCGATGAAGTCGTGCTGCAGAACAGCCTCTCGAGCATCCGCGCAGTAGACGTTCCGAAGTGGAGGGCCAAGGGCAGTGCCTTGAGATACCTTGCCGTGCAGCTCGAAAGCGTCAGACAGGACACCGTCCACCACGACGTGGGCAGTCCTGGGAGCAAGCCACGATGAGAGTACAAGTCAGCCGGCGGGAACCCACCGCCACCCTCTGTCCTGACTCCCATCCCCGAGCAGGCGATTCAAGGGGTCGGGACTGAGGGTGGGGGCGTTTTCTCCATCCTTGGACCCCGAAAAAACATCCTCGCCCCCAGTCACGATCCCCTGGATCGCGGGTTCGGGGATGGAGTCGGGATTGGGGGTTGGGGTGGATTTTCGCAGTTCCAACAAGGATGAAGTCCGGCCTGTCCCTCTACAGGAGGAAAATTCAGAAATAGTCAAAAAATATAGTCAGTGGACGATTTTTCTAGCATTCTTGAATTATTTCATGCTATTTTTGAATGTTTTTTTATTATTTGTCCAAAATCCGCCTGTTGAGGGACATACCCGACCTAAAACAAGGACGAATACGCAGTGTTGATGCCTTTCGCCTTCTAATTGTCGACACTGCGGTCCGCTCTCACCTGGTCGCAGGGGCCAGACAAGTCCGAGCAGCACACGATAACGCGCCTGCCTCGACCAATCTCCCAAAGCCAGCTGCATACGGCATACGCCAGAGCGTCCTTGTTGCCGCGGTGGTAAGCGAACTGAGCGTTGGTGGCCTCAGAATAAGGTACATTTAAGTCGTGCACGCCCCTCTACGGGGGGAGTGTTCAAAAATAGTAAAACAGTAGTATGGGGATGATTGTTCTATGATTTGTTGATTATTTTGGGAGTATGTTTTGAAAATGTTTAATTTTTCGTCTAAAATCCGCCTGTAGGGGGACATGCCCGACCTACAGGTATACCTGTCTTCGCAGAGGCCCTCTCCGCAGCCTTGGACACGTGCTAGCTCAAGTGGATGCCCCGCTTGTAGTTGTCAGCGAGGGATTTGCTCTTGCGCCTGTGTAACGGGAGCACCCAGTGAACCTTCCATCCCGCAGGCCATACGCCGCTGCAAAGAATGATGCGGGCAACGATCGCCGCGGGCACCGCTATCTGCGAAGCGCATTGCTTCAGGAGCCTGGCAGAGATAGAGTCAGGACCAGTGCCAGCGTCTTCGCGCAATGTTTCAAAACTCTCAGAACGGACCAGCCGCGGATAGGTGCGAAGCCACACATTCTTTGGTCGCCGTATCGGCTGCAGGAGAGAGGCCAAACTTCGCAGGGACTCCTCTTGAACAAATTTGTCTTATCTTTCGGGCTGGTCTCCCACTGCCCACAAGAGCTCTGCAGAGGAATTGACGATGAAGACGAATGGCCGGCCTGTAGCTTGAGAGCGTTGCGTAATCCCCACCTCTTGGAAGAAGGTGGTAGGGTAAGAATGCGTTGCCGTGTGCGGGTGGTCTAACACGAAAGCCCGCCTCAGAGATGACGATGTCGTGGTCGCTGATGCCAGACACCATCTGGTAAGTATCGGGGAATCGCAAGACCCGAGTAAGCCAGAACTTGGGTTTGCTTACGTTTTTTTGACGAGCGCGTCCCGGATTTTGACGGTCCAGTTTTCGTGGGATGTCTGCAGCGGGAGTTCGCGTCAAATTTTAGATTGGGCCTCGTCATTTTTATGAGGGCCCCGTCGGGCCAACCCGAGTCCCCCGTACCCGAGTCTTACGTCTCCCCGAAAGTAAGGCCAGAGATGAGGTCACCGAAAACAGGGTCCAAGAGGTATTCGCCGCGAGTGGGCCGCCCAGCCATCTCATGCAAGCTTAATATTTTGCATGTGACCCGCAACTCCTGCCCCTCGGTCGCATTGCCGTTCGAGCACTTGGGCCACCGCCCTCCTCCTCCTCCTCCTCCTCCTCCTCCTCCTCCTCCTCCTCCTCCTCCTCCTCCTCCTCCTCCTCCTCCTCCCCCTCCCCCCCCCCTTCCCCTCCCCCTCTCCTCCTCCTCCTCCTCCCCCTCCTTCTCCTCCTCCTCCTCCTCCTGGTCCGACCCCCCCTCTCTCTCTCCTTACCTCCTCTAGTCGATAGTTCTCCTCGTCTCCCGCCCCCCGCCCAGGCTCCCCTCCTCTCGGGCCGGGCGAAAGGGGGGGATTGGGAAAGGGGGGGTTACGAAATCTGGTGCATGCAGCTGGTTTCGGCCGCCGCCGGGCCCACTCCTCGATACATGGGCGTTTCCCGGCGCCGGGAGGCGCCGGGAAACGCAGCTATGCGTGAGCTTATTCTCAAACCCCCCTCTTGCCATCCCCCATTTCGCCCAGCCCGAGATCAGCGTCGGGTGATCGATGAGACGGCGTCGATTGGCCTCGGCTCGCGTCGATCTGGCGCCGATTCGCCTCGGTCAGCTACGCGAGCTGATTCTCAAACGCCCCCTTTGCCATCCCCCCCCCTGTCGCCCGGCCCGATGCTCCCCCTCCCCCCCCGGGGGGGCGCGGGAGGCGAGATGTCCATCCGGGAGATCTCCGCGGAGGCCTCGGACCTGGACGCCCGCCTCCAAGAGGTATCCGGGGAGCGCTCCCGCGCCCCGGGGTCGGCCCGCCGCGTGCCCCCAGGGGGTCGGGGGGGGCGGGGTCGCTCGGGGGCCTCGGTGATGTCGGGCCTGTCCTCCTACAGTTGGGATCTTCGACGAAAACTTAAAAACCTCCCCCCAACAATAGTCCAGACATCGTCTGGAGCATTTTTGGGGTATTTTTTATTCTTCGTCGAGAATCCCCCTGGAGGGGGACAGGCCCGACTCAGGACCTCAGCGTGGCATTCCGCGGTCCCCCCAAGCTCGAGCATTGTCGAAGCGTCCTGGCTTTCTTTTCAATAGGCCCACCGAAGAAGGCTCCAATAACCTCCTGTGGCCTGCACGACATGCCCTCAGAACGTTCTTGGCTGGGGCTGCCTTGTTTTATCACATCGGGTCTATGTTCTAAGAACACTGCTTTGGTTATTCGTTTTTGGGGGGTTCTAAGAACATGTCGTGGTAGGCCTATAGGAATGCCGGGACGGTCGGTCCCTGCTCAACAGACCTGCGCAAAGCCCGCCCCTGGAACCCATGGCCAGCTCTTCCTCCCGGATAGCTTTTCGACGGCCCCAGCGCCTGAGAGCCCCAGGCCGAAGCCTATCATGCACGTCCGTTCCCTTGGGGAACGGGTGCTCCACAGGCGGCGGACATTTACGAATCCCCGCTCGGGGCTCAAGCGACAGGGGTCAATGCAAACGGGGGTCAGCCAGAGCGCCCGATCTTGCATGATCCTACAAGGCCAGGGTCGCATTGACCCGGGCTTCGGCGCAGGATCCTGCCGGATCTTGCAGGATCCTTCGCGTTGACCCGGGCTTGGGTGCGGAATCTTGCAGGATCTTGCAGGATGTTGCAAGGCCTGACTGACCCGGGTTTGGACTGACCGGGGTCAGAAGATCCCCGACCCGCCTCGTGCCAAATCCCCGAAAATCCCAAAGAATCCTTTGGCCTCGACCTTGTGCTTCGACATCTGGACTACGGCCCCTCCGCAGGGGCCGCGGCGGGTTTCGCAGGCTCGTGGACGAGATCCGACCCGACGTGGCGGCGGACGCGCAGCGGATGGCGGCGAAGCCGGGCTCCATCGCCAAGGAATGGGGCCGCGGAGGAGGGGGGGGAGAGTCGATGCTTCTCAGGACGTGTGTTGGCGCCCCCTGTCGAGCAGAGCAGTGACGAAGCATCCTTATCTGCCTGTATGCCCTAAACGATCTTGGCCTTTTGCAGTCTGCATCGCATCTTCTCAGAAACTGCCAGGCTGAGTCAGTCTCTCAGTCTAAGATACACGCTTCATGGTACAAACATGCAGTTTGGGTGATAGTCGCCTTGTTTGCTGATGGCAATATAGCCACCTAGAGGAATACACGGATGGTCAATGCGTGCGCAAGAGAGTGGCTCCTGATTACGGATAGCACTCGGTCTATGCCGGGCCTCATCACGGCGCCTGCGTCACAGTCGAAGGGTCTCGGGTGGACGGGCACGCATTGGCGCTTGCACATGTTCTGAAGACCATCGGCAAGAGGGGAGGGAGCCTCCTCTTCTTCCTCCTCCCTCCTCCCCTCGTCCTTTTCCTCCTCCCTCCTCCCCTCGTCCTCCTACCTCTTCCCTCCTCCCTCCTCCACCATCGTGCCGCCTCCAGCGGGCGGCTGCCGGCAGCTCCCTCCGCCGCTGCTGCTTGGCACGGAAGGTGATTTCACGGCACTCAGAAGACAACACGTTCCATGTTCTTGTGCGTTCGTTGTTAGCATCATGCTTTGAACATGTTTGAGTTATCGGAGGCGCGCCCAGGGGGCAAGTTGGAGGGGGCGAGCCCTTCAGAGAGCTCAGAAGGCCTTCTGAGCCTCCTGAGAATGCTTCTGGGCCTTCTCCGAAGACACCGACTGCTTCTCACAAGGCCGGAGGGCTCCTGAGGAGCCCCGCTGCCTTCTGAGGAGGCCTGCCCCCTCCGTCATCCCCCCTGGGCGCGCCGCCAGGACTGTTCAGAGCCCCGAGTCATCAGGGGTAACTCGGGCCAGGGCTAACTCGGGCTCGTTTGTCGGGATTCCGAACCCGACTTACCCCGGGCCCGAGTTACCCCGGATAGTTCGGGCGCCCAAGCTATGCAAGACGCACGGACTTGCGCCCTGCGCGAAGCCTTTTTGCAGGCCGAAGCGCTCCGACCTTGGGAGTGCAGGGCTGGCGCCCCCCTCAGGGCGCGACGAGGGCCTTCCGACAGGCTCTGGGGCTTAGGGCGTCCTCCTGCTCGCCCCTCCTCCTCTTCCTGCCTGCTCGCTTCTGGCCTGGGGCCCCGGGCCCCGGCGACTCACGGGGGATCTGAAGCCCACACCAAACCGCTCTGGGCCAGTTGGCGGTGCAGTGCCATTCGGTAGCACGGAGGCCTTCCTGTCCGGGCCTCGCGAGTGTTCGGCACCAAGACCCGCGATGTCGTGTTTTTCCCAACCATCCTGAGGTGTTGGGTCTCCGTTTTGAAGAGACGGTCCCCGCGTTCTCCTTCTCTCCTCCTCTTCCCCCTCCTCCTCCACCGTCCGCATGCGTCCCGCACACCCAGTACAGCGTTTCGTAGCCCTCCTCCCCCTCCTCCCTGCGTTTCACCCACCCAGTACAGCGTTTCGTGGCCCCATAGGGAGCCCCACCGAAGGTCCCAGTGCTACCGTCCGCATGCGTCCCGCACGCCCAGTACAGCGTTTCGTGGCCCCAAAGGGAGCTCCACCGAAGGTCCCAGTGCTACCATCCGCATGCGTCCCGTGCACCCACCCAGTACAGCGTTTCGTGGCCCCATAGGGAGCTCCACCGAAGGTCCCAGTGCTACCGTCCGCATGCGTCCCGCACACCCAGCACAGCGTCTCGTGGCCCCATAGGGAGCTCCACCGAAGGTCCCAGTGCCACCGTCCGCATGCGTCCCGCACACCCAGTACAGCGTTTCGTGGCCCCATAGGGACCCCCACCGAAGGTCCCAGTGCTACCGTCCGCATGCGTCCCGCCCACCCAGTACAGCGTTTCGTGGCCCCATAGAGAGCTCCACCGAAGGTCCCAGCGTTACCGTCCGCATGCGTCCCCCACACCCAGTACAGCGTTTCGTGGCCCTCCTCCCCCTCCTCCCTGCGTTTCACCCACCCAGTACAGCGTTTCGTGGCCCCATAGGGAGCCCCACCGAAGGCCCCAGTGCCCCCGTCCGCATGCGTCCCGGAAACTCACTTTGGCATTTTCACCCACCCAGTGCAGCGCTTCGTGGCCCCATAGGGGGCTCCACCCAAGGCCCCAGTGCCACCGTCCGTATGCGTCTGGGAAATGTAATTTGGCATTTTCACCCGCGCAGTGCAGCGTTTCGTGGCCCCATAGGGGGCTCCACCGAAGCCCCCAGTGGGACCGTCCGCATGCGCCCCGGTAGCCCAATTTGGCATTTTCATTCACATTCAGTAGAGCGCTTCGTGGCCCCATAGGGAGCTCCACCGAAGAGCTCAGTGGGACCGTCCGCATGCGTCCTGGAAACCCAATTCGGCACACCACCCACACAGTACAGCGTTCCCCCCGCCCAGTGCAGCGCTTCGTGGCCCCATAGGGAGCTTCACCGAAGCAGATATTCACAATTACGGTACCCACAACTGCATATGGTTGTGACCTTCGCCAGGATCATTTTTTACACAGCGTCAAACCCCAGAGGTCTGGACCCCTTCCCCGGGGAGCGGTTTCTCGTCCTGAGTCGTTCTTTGAGCTTCCCAGGGCCCAGTGAGGGCCCCCAGAGAGGCGAGGCAAGACCGTGACGCCAGACACCGCAACGCCAGACAACTGCGACGCCAGACAACCGCGACGCCAGACAACCGCGACGCCAGAACCGCGACGCCAGAACCTCGACGCCGGGGCCGGCACGCCAGGGCCGGCACGCCAGACCCTCCGCGCCAGAGCCGGCACGCCAGAACCGGCACGCCAGAACTGGCACGCCAGAACCGGCACGCCAGATTTGGCGCCGCCGCCGCAGCTGCCGCCGCCGCCCGTTTGGGGTCCGCCGCCGCCGCCGCCGCCGCCCGTTAGGGTTCACGCGTGCCCTCTCGAGCATGCCCCACACTTGAATGTCCCGCCGCCACCGCCGCCCGTTAGGGTCCGCCGCCGCCGCCGCCACCGCCGCCCGTTAGCGTACACGCGTGTCCAGTCGAGTACGCCCCGCCTTTTAATGCCCCGCCGCCGCCGCCGCCGGCGCCCGCCAGGGTCCGCCGCCGCCACCGCCGCCACCGCCCGTTAGGGTTCACGCGTGCCCTCTCGAGTATGCCCCATATCTTCATGTCCCGCCGCCACCGCCGCCGCCGCCCGTGAGGGCCCGCCGCCGCCGCCGCCGCCGCCCGTTAGGGTTCACGCGTGCTCGCCCGTGTACGCCCCACACTTTCATGCCGCGCCCGCCCGACCCGAGCTGCCCGTTAGGGTTCACGCGTGCTCGCTCGTGTATGCTCCACAGTTTAATGTCCCGCCCGCCCGACCCGACCCGCCCGTCAGGGTTCACGCGTGCTCGCTTGTGTACGCCCCAGACTTTACTGTCCCGCCCGCCCGACCCGACCCGCGCGTTAGGTTTCGCGCCCATCCGAGGGGCGCCGCGGGTCCTACGCGCACGCAAACCGACCTTTTTCCGCATGGCCATGCGGGAGGATGGGGAGGAGGAGCCAGCAGGAGGATCGGGGAGGTGAACGAGGGTCTGGAGGAGGAGGAGGAGGATGAGGCATGGGGGAGGAGGGGGCATCTGGGATGCACGCGTGCCAACTCAATTCTGATTTTCTGCCCCCCTCTCGGACTCGACAATCCGAACATCTACGCTTGATGCAGTCCTGCCTTGATGCATGAATGCCTGGAGGTGCTGCAGCATTGCTATATACATTCATTCATCGATGCAGACGCTCGGATGCGCTCCTGCATTGCCGAGGACGATGAGCACCGAGAGCAGGATGTACATGATTACCGCGACGCAGCGTTTTAAGCTTCGGCTCTTGCGAAGCTCCACGCAGCCACGACCGCCGATTGGGACAAGCAAGAGGAAGAGGTCGTGAACTTCTCATGGAGGTGAAAGCGCACCGCGCTGATTTTTCCCAGTCCTTTTCCGAAGGGCCAGCGTGCTCAAGCACGCCTGTCGCCCATCTTTGGGTCGCCCTCTGCGGCGATGACAGTTCGTTCGCTCGTTCGTTCTTGCGACGCTCCTCCTCGGCCGTCTCCGCGCGCCTCCGGCGCCTCCGTGGACACAGGGCTCCGCCGGAGGCCCCGCTGCTCTGGCTGCCGTGGGCGCCAGCGCCAGCGCCAGATCCCGCCCCCGCCCGTGCACCCCGCCCAGCGCCCGCTGCCGCAGGGGCTCCCTGCAGGCAGCGACTACATTCGCAGGCCTAGAGGTTGACACCAACACCAAGTTCGGCGGTGTGCCTCCTCCGAGGGAAGAAGATCCCGATCTCGGTGGTGGTGGTAATACTGTGGCTTCCAAGGTGGCCGAAGTATTACCACCAACGCCGAAATCTAGGATCATCTTCCCCCTGTGGAGGTAACCCCCTGCGTTGGTGTTGGTGGCCATTTCCAGGCCTCCAATACATCAAATCCAAGAAGACGGGCCACAAACTTCACCGCGTCGGGGTCTTGCGCGTGCAACGGTACGCCGCTGCAGCGGCTGCATCGCTTGGATGTGCGACATTGGCAGGACGTCCAAAGGCGGGGCCCAGGGCTGCCAGGGCAGGCTGAAGGCGCACATCCCCGGGCCCAACGTGGAAAGCGAGATCCTGACGCCACATTCCCACCTCCGTTGTCCGGGCAGCGTCGCTGAGGAGCGTTGCAGGGGAGACATCTACAAGAGGGCGGCGGCCGACCATGGCCCCGAGGCGGCCGTCGTCGCAGCGGCTGCCCTCTACGAGGTCCCGCGCGACGACGTGGCCGCATTTCCCTCGCCGGCGAAGTTGCGCCGGGCTTGTTGGCGCGTGCGCAACCAGGCTACCAAGGAACGCCTCCAGGACTTCAGCGGCCACCGGCCCTCCCCCCCTTGCGCCCATCGCGCTTTATATATAGCAGTTCCTATCGAGATTCACGATTTCGGAAAACGATATAAGTTATTGATCTTCTGTGTTTCTTTATAAACGTTTTCGT